CAGAGGGCCAGATGTGGTGGTTCATGCCTGTAATCCCAGCACTCTGGGGACTGAGGCAGGAGTATTATAAATCTGAGCCCAGCCCACTCAATTTAGTGATTAGCAAGACTGTTTCAACTGAAAAATAAAAAAGGGCTGAGCACGTAGCTGTGTGTAGAGGCTGTGGGTTCAATTCCCAATACTGCCAAAATAAATAAATAAATAAATTTATTTTAAATATTTTGATTGATATTTCTGATTTGTTGTTTCTTTAAATGTTATTACAATTATTTCATATGTATTCCTTATAAATCCACTTTGTAAAATCCTTGGAATCTAAATCTGTTGGTTAGTTTGCAGTACGAATTTCACCTGTGATAGTTACCTGTCTAGACTGGTTATCTGTGATCCTGTGATCTTTTGGTGATTTTAACTATGGAAAAAAGAAGGGCCTAAACTGAGGCTGCTGTCCCAAAGGAGGTCATTTACCCATTATCCCAGCTTAACCGCTAAGTCTGAAGTGTAACTCCCCCGCCTCCAGCCAGTGTCAAGTGCAACATGAATATACGTCTCTTGTGTATCGGTGTGTATTCTAAAAATCCCACCTTTTACCTATACTTACTCCTTACAGTTTGATTTCAGGTCACAATTTTTAGTTTATCCCTTGACATTTCATTTCTTAAGAATCTCACAATGCAACATGAAATGTGATTTATCGAGACTCTTGTTGTTTTGAATGGAGACTTTCAAAGATTCCAGTCTGTATATTAGGGAAGTTTCTTATGTCATTATGAAAGGGTATATTATACTTTATTGCATATTACTAACTTGTATGAGCTGGAAAGAATTATATTTAAATTTCTTATTTCTCATGGTAAGTACTAAGAATGCTTTCAGCCTATTTATTTATTTATTTTTTAAGAGTAAGAAATTTTATTGAAGAGAGACAGCTCCTGAGAGAGACAGGAGGGGACCCAGAAAGTGCACTGCCCAGTTACCAACCTCTTTAACAAATGCAGGATACTTTTAAGTAAAAGAAATTACATAACTCTGAATATCTGCCACTATTCAAGGACATTTATTAAATGGCTTTTACTTGGCTTGGCACATCACTTCACTGACCTCTGTTTCTTTATAAGCAATCCACAAAATAAAAATTATTGCACTTGGTACCGGCACCAGCATGACTACCAACTCAAGTAGGTGCAACAGAATAGGTTATCAGATCCAGAATGTGCTTATAATCATTTTCTTTATTATGGAAAAAAAGCACCTTTTAAAGTTCTCTCAGAAAACTCTGACTTTTATAAATACATCGGCAGAATGGAGCCCACTCTGAGAAATACTGTCACAAACAGTTTTCTCCAACACTAAAGCTATTCCAATATTCTAACTTTATACTTCAGTCACAGTTTGGAAGAGAATTAAGTTAATTCTAAACAGAAATTCAGTGTCCTCGGCTGAACCAGGATGATGATGGACATTAATTAGAAAGATGCGGCAAATGGTACCTACCAGGAAGCTTCACACAAGAACTCAGGGGAGGAGAAAAAAAGCACTAGAAAGGGATATTTACATCAAACACTACTGTACGTGATTTTATTATTACATAAATATAAAATGGAGCCCGGGGATTTAGCTCAGTGGTTCTGCCACCTGCCTTGAAAGCGCAAGGACCCGAGTTTGATCCCCGGTAACAACAACAAAAAAAGAACATGCAATATAAAATGGAACTGTTCAGCTGGTTGACAGAACCAAGAGTCAAGCCTTGGCTTCCCATATCCCAAAGTCTATGATTGTCCCACTTTCAATGTAAACAACGCTGCCGTTTCAGCCTGGGAAGGGAAGTGATACTCCCTCTAGACTGTAACGTACACAAGACAGGGGTACGTTTCCAAGGGAAGACTGACCCTAAAAGACCAGGAGCAGCCTTGTTCTAATTTGCCTGTTTTCACAGCTCCAAGACAGCAACCGAAAACAAACAGAAGGTGGAGAAAAACTATACTTATCGCGAGCTAAAGATATGTAATCTCCAAATCCTTATTTAATCCTTTAAGTTGTAAGTCATGCATATTAAAGTATTAATGCTAAGAAGTGCAAATTACAAAACCTAAGAAAAAAGGACCCCAAACTCACCACACGATTTAAGAACTCGGTCATTACCAGTGTGGTGGAGCACACACACTTTCCTGCTCCTTCTCTATCACACCTGCTACCCCAAAAGGCACCCAGAAACTGAGTTTTTGTCATTTCCCCGCCCTTCTCCGTAATGATTTTGTCACATACATACAGAAATAACCCCAAATAATAGCTTCTTTTTCTTGTCCTGAAGCCTTATAAAGACAATATACTATATGTGGTCTCCACAAATTGGTTCTTTCACTCATGTTTTTAAGATACATCCACCCACTCTTGCCATTGGACATTAGCTCTTTCCCATTTATTTGAAATTAATTTAGGCATCTATACTTCCACAATTACTGATTACAATGTTGTTCAAGTTGCAAAGAAATTAGAAAGATAGAAATCACCCCTTGCCATAGGTTATTCTACACTTAGCTTGCAAGTTCATACCAAAAGCCATTATCTCAACATCATTTTATAAAGGATTCTACCTCCACATGTAACTTGTCAACATGACTACTATACCATCTCCTTATGAGCTCACAGCTCACCACATTTAAAAATAAAGTTTACTGAAAGTAATGGAGCTCCTCTGCTAAAATGTTACTACGCTTCATGCATTATTAAACTGTTAATTTGCTTTCCAATCACTTTGTAAATATCAACTTAGCAAAACCCCTATATGGGATACATGAGATGTCAATTTGAATACTGTGTATTTGTCAGAATACAGTTAATACAGTTGTCAAGAAGTGTTAGTTTTAATAGTTTTTTGGGTCCCCATTTCTGTAACAGAACAGGAACATAGGTTAAGAAATATCACCACTTGTTACTCAAATAAACATCAGCTTGTTTTCATTATATTCCTATTTAGGAATTTTTGGTTACATTATCTTTGCAGCTTTGTATATGTGATAACTGAGTAATTTTTCTAATGCAACAACAGGGAAACAAGACTTTTTAGTTAATTCTGAGGAATGAAAAACCCTCCTCAATAATCTATAGCTTTTAAAGGTAAAGGTAAAACGTGCATTTATTGGCATCTATGTGTAAGACACCATATTAGGTCCCTGGTTCCTTTACCCAAACAGATAACAGCCCCTTTCCCCTAATGGCCCATTTTAGGGATCAATGAGAAAATGTGGATAAATTGCTAAACACAATACCCTAGACCATAAAGACTCAAATATAGGTTATCATTTTTGCACATCTTTTCATGTGCATGTCAACTCCTATTTAACACACGTATGTTCCTTGTTTTATTTTGCATCTTACTCAACCCTTAAAAGACTGAAGGAATACGTTACTCTAAAGGGGAGGGCCTAAGACCACCTGAGGAAAAGGTGCCACCAGAGAATACACCTGTTAGGCACCCTGTCAGAAGCCATTCTACATAATTTTTTGGGAAAAAATCATTTCACAATTAAATTATGATTAGGGCTGTCTGGGGCCTCAATGGTCCCGTGATGCTGTGACGCTCAAGGGCAAGCTTGCACCAGCTGAAGACACCCTGGTTCTTTTGAAAATCGAGTAGTAAAAAAGAGAAAGGTCTCACCTGGGGACGGACAGATTCCTTATCAGCTTAACTCATCCCACCTACTGCAGTAAGAGCTTTGTTCACCTCACCGTCCTCATCAGCATGAGCTCCTCATCGACCTAAACTCCTCCTCATCATAGGATTATTGCCAACGTCTGAGACATCTGATACTCCCTCCAATTGTAAGATCCTCGTGATTTTAGGATTGTCGCCACCCAGAATCATCTGATACTTCCTATGAATGCAATAAATAGTGGCAAGCTCAGAGTGTCTTTGTCTTTCTTTGCCTGCTCACTCGGAGGCACTGATCTCCTCACCCACCAGGTACTTTGAAACTACACAAGTCTCTACTGTCTTTCTTTCTTTAGCCCCTGGTCCTCTTTCTAGGCAGTCAAAGGATTGATTACCCTCCCATAACCCCTCATTTTTCTTCAGTGATTTTTTAAAAAGTTTCTACAGAGTAGCCAACTGTGTTTTATTTGCCTCTGAGATGGAAGAAGACTAAATATCTAGCAAAATGACTATCCCATCATCGTCATTCTCAAGCAGATTACTGGGGTTAGATAGGAATTTAAAGATCATCCACAATAAACATTACTTTTTTTTTTTTTTTAAAGAAAACTGAGTCAGTGAGTCTTTAGTGGAATCTAGGTACTGAGACCCAGTATGAAATCGCTCACGAGCGTCTTTGAATTTAACCAAGGCACACAGAACTTTACAAGTTATATAGACATGTTTTGAAATGCTCGGTCCCCACCTCTCCATATTCACCTTGAATTATTTCATGGTGGACATCACCTGCAGTCTACCGCCTACATAATCTGTCACAATAGAATTAAGATGTGCTATGTACGTGCACCAAGTCCTCACGATGAAGGTAACCACTATGTACTGCAAACAGATACTGATAAAAAATTAGAAAAAATTTGGATCAAATGAAGCGACATACCAAGTACGGTCCGATCACTGAATTACTTATGCTAACTTAATGAGATTTTCTGTCAAGCTATTCCTGATTTGGAATTACATCATACATAGAATTTACATCTTTACTGCTTTATTTGGCATACCTATGTAGAAAACTATTTTTAAAATCGGATTTCACTATATACAATAAAATTGATTAGAGCAAATTATAAAATAAGAATTAAGAAACATAAAAATACTCAGGGGAAAAAAATCCTAGAGGCTCTGGGCTCAGCCCCGTTTTGGAACAGAGGGCTCGGGGGAGGCAGGGGTGGAGCTACAGGCTGAAAAAACCGGGAAAACTAAAAAGGCTTCTGGGCCAACTCCTGTATCCGCTGTTCTTGCTCGCAGAGGGACCCTCAAAACGGCACTGCATGGGGAAGGAGATACCTACGGCATCGCGGGTTCGGGAGGCGCCACCGCTGCTAAAGGAAGGGCGCTTGGGCGCTTCTTCCGCTCCCCAAGCAACAAACAGCCCGGGACGAGGGGGGAAGACACCGGGACCGGAAACGCGCGGGCCAGGACGACGCGTCACACCTCTCGCTGCCCGCCGGAAACACGCTCCGCTGGACGAAGAGGCCGGGATGTGTGTCCGGACAGAGGCGTGGAGCGAGTCGAGGCCCAGAACCGCATTCTTTGCCTGCCGGACGCAGCACATGGCCTTCTCTCACTATTTTTTGGCCATAGAAGCCCCGGACAGAGGAGCAACAGAACCACGTGCGTCCGCTCTGAACCAGCGGTTCCCTAGGTTTCTAGCCGGAGCGTTTGGGAAGATGCTCCGCATCTTACCTCCGGGGGCTGGGAGGCGCGGTTGCCATGGTAACTAGCCGACGGCGGACGTCAGCCCGGCGGCGGGGAGACCGGAGAAGCCGAGCCGCGCGTCCTCGCTGGTGACCCGGGTGAGGCAGCTCGATGACTCGGCCTTCTCACTCGCGCTTTCCTCCCGTGCGGCTTCCTCTTCCCGCGCGCTGCTCTTGCTCCTCTCTGCTCTCGGCGTCGTCCCCACGGGACACCGAAATGCTTTTCCTGCCCCGCGGTCCAGGCCCGGGAGGCCGCGTCTCCCCGGCCCGGGACCTGTGGGTCGCCGGCCACTGGCTCGCTGGAGTTTGAATAAAGGAGCTGTCCGAGCCGGAAGGGTCCAGTTCTGTATTTATTTAAGCGCCACTCTCGTCTTTCTTCCCAGAAAGAGAAAGATCGAATTCTGGAACATTTCCGCCGTGGGATTTCCACGGGAAAGAGTCATCCCGTTTGGAAAGAATATTCGAAGGGGATGTAGCAGTATTTAGATGTTGAAATTGCTTGTTGCAGAGGGAACATTCATTCTTCTGTATTGGAACAGGCTTCCCCCACACATTCGCGAGGAGATGCGCGCACACATATGTGTTTAAAACGGTGGTGCTTAATTATAGTGATTCGATTTGCAGACTGTGACACCACATCCCCACGGGCTCCTTCGAAGTCTGGCGTAATATGAAGGTGTCAGGCAGCCGGCCTGTGTATTATAAATGGGGTACTTCATCCATGATAAGCGCTTATTATCTTTCTTTCCCAAGTGTAAAAGACCTATATAATTCAAGAAGGTACCAGTGATTTAGGCCTCCCGAGTAAGAATCCAATGAGTCCTGAAGGGGACCCTACCTGTGTCATCTTATTGTTGAACTTGAAATATTCAATTTATTAGGTTGGAATGTATTTTTATCAGTCAAAGCTGGATAAAGTATGTTGGGAGCTGTTAGATCACCGGCACAATCCAGTACCGCATAGAAGCCATTGTTCAAAAAACCTTCCTGCACAATAACAAGGAAGAAACTGAAATTCACCACCTCTCAGTGCTTGTTATTAGCACTATTGTGACCTCTTTGTCCCTCAATTTGTTAATCTGTAAAATGGACAAAAGGTACCTGACCACTGTACTAGGGATTGAACAAGGTGTAGGACAGTTCATTATGCTCTTAGGAGCAGAAGTGCTGTGTAAACCCAAAATAAGACTATTAATAGAAGAACACAGTAAAGCCACAATGGTAATCCTAAAAGTAGAATTTTAAAAGTTCAGTTATTTGAAATACTAAATCTAGATATTAGTGAAGTGGTTTGGTTGATCTTGCTGTGGAGGGCAGGTGCCAACTGCCAATTCCTTTAAAGATTCTCATTATTATAGAGTTTCCCACTGTCCACAGTTTATTTCCCACTTATGACATGTCAGGCAGGGTCCTATCTGCTTCACACCTATTAACTGATTTCCTCTTGAGGACTCTAGAAGTCATCTGGTTTTCATGTCTTCATTCCCACCCCCATTTGAAAGGCATGGTGACATTTGCATTTTAGGTGACCAACAGAGGCACTAAACCAAATCTTTCAATTATTTTCTAATAGAATGACCACCAGTCCAGCAAGTAATGTCGCTTTTGCCAGTCAGAAATCATTGCCTTCAGAGAACCTTCGAAGAAAGAAACTTCCACTAACTGAAGAGGAGGTATTTTACATGAATTGCAGAGCTGCCTACTTAACTGTCTTCAAAAGCAGCTTAGAAAACATTATTTCTAAAGATCAACTTTACCTAGGTAATTTTTTAACTTAAATATTTTACTTTTTTGTTGAAAGATTGAAAATAAAATTATATTGTTGAGGGCCGGGGATTTAGGTCAGTGGTTTTGCTGCCTGCTGCTCAAGCGCAAGGACCCGAGTTTGATCCCCGGTACCAAAAAAACCAAAAAATTTTATTGTTGAATAATCCCACTTTCATAGTTATGCTCAGCAATAGCTATAAGCTATTATGCTGTTTTATATAGTTATATATTCTAGGAACTTCAAAATAAAATGTTCAGTACTTGTACAGTCTAGGTGGGTATATTTAAAGCTTTCATCAATTTACTAATTGTTAAAATATTTTTTAAATTCTCGCTGTGGTTCTTTAGGATTATAATTACAGAATTAAACCACTTTTGGCATCTGAATCACTAGTCTGGATTTTGACCTGTACTGAGGAAAATTTACAGAATACATAAAGAATGGGGTCAAATGATGGTAGAAGGAACATAGTGGGAAATAGGTGAAATTTTAAAGAGAATTAAGAGTTCAGTGTTTGTTTTTTTTCTCTTATTGCTTCTCTCCATTATCATATTTTCAAATTCTTCTGGCTGCAAATGTTCCTGAATTACTGAGTTTGTTCCCTTTCGGGGCTTCAGATGATGTGGAGGTCATTAGTCACCGGAGAGAAGTGACAGCACCGGATTGCATGGTCTGTTTGTGTCCACATCATCAAGGTCCGTCTTGTTGGGAGTAGAGAAATGGAGTTATTTCACCGGCTTTAGAAGTAGTTTCCCTAAACCAAAACTAATTTATTCTGTAGCCAGGTCTTTGTGTGCAGTAAGATCTCTATTTGAGGAAATCCATTTTGGGGAAGATGATAATTGAAAAGATTAAAATGTATTTGATAGACATAGTAAAAAGCATTATTTGTAAAATAGTTGAAACACAAATGACTGAAGTAATTTTTAAAATTGTGTTTAATTTCACTTTAGTTTACATATAGTTTTGTTTGCAGTGCTGGGGATCAAACCCAAGGCCTCGCACATTCTAGGCGAGCCCTCTGCCACTGAGCTACACCCCCAACCCACATAATAGTAAAATTAGTAAATGTTTAATTTTGAAAATATTAGTGTTTAAAAATGTTAATTGTTATAGGGAGAAACCCAGTTAATTTAAATTCTAGTTTGCTGCTATTCCTAGAATGTCTGAGTTTTTTCTTTCTTGTTTTGAAATAGGCCGAGATAATGAATCTGCTAAGTTTAAAAGCTTAACATGCCCTCCACTGCTATAGTGTTTGGTTTGTGGAATCAATAAGTCTGTATTAATAAGGTGCTAACAGTCTTAGAAATTATCCTGAAAGATAACAATGCAGTGTTTGTCTTTTCCGTGTTATATACTCTTTGGGTTTTATAGTGGAATATTCCTTCTGGCATTATAGTAATTGATTTCAGATAATCTAGTTTTTAAGAAGTAATGCAAATCAGTGATGTCTCTTTCTTACCACTGTCTCCCATCGATGACCTTCTGCTGCTTAGGCGCTAGAACTTTACAGCTCTTTATTTATCAATTCATAAATAATACAGGTATTCTGTGCAAGCGGAAGGACCGGAGTTCGATCCCCGGTACCAAATAATAATAATAATAATAATAATAATAATAATAATACAGGTATTAGAGACTCATGTTAAAGTTTAAAGTAAACCTTGGCGAAAGGTCAGTATGTTAGGGTCAACTTTTGGATATCTACACTTACGTAATGTTTTCACTATCATCAGACTTAATAATGAACTAATTCTCAACCTTGAGACTTAAAAAGTTAGTGATAAGTAGATTATATCAATTTCTTAGAAATGGGGATGTCTACTTACTATGTATTTTGGCATAATTTTTATTGTTGCTGAAGATAGCAGCAAGTGTACATGGAGCTGCCACTACTAGAAAAGCAGTCATGCGCCTGTTTTCCTAATGCTGAGTAGAAAGTATCACTTTCTTTCCTATAGATTTTTTTGACTTTCAACTTATAACTTCATTTAGGTTCTGTTTCTGTTCCCCATGTTTAAAGGATGGGTGCTGGCTGGACACGTAACCCTAAAGCACCTTTGCCGTTTCTCTGACTGTATTAATAGATGAATTATGGAATCATCTGTTCGTGTGCTACCAGTACTTTGCTGTTAGGGCACCATGGGAATCAGGGATTTTGTCTCCATCCAAAATAAACCTGTGGAAATAAAAGTTCAATTATATCCAATGCTACAGATTTCCGCAGAGTTTTTACACATAAAAGGAACATGTGATTGCTGTAAGTACAACTTCTGTTAGCTCCAGAGTTGGCCTCTAGATTATTTTCTTATTGCTCTGTGCCAGAGTTTATATTAAACAGTAACTTTGCCCCAGCAAAATTTGGAGAATCAGGAAATTCCTTTGTCTCTGAACTTCTAAAGTAGCATTGTCCATAAGTCATGGCTGCAGGTAGCAATCTTACACTTCAGAGGTAGACTGTTTACGTTACAGAACTTCTTTGTAACTGAAAAGCTTGTATTTCTGAAAAAAAATCACCCTATATATGCCTGTGTACAGTGCATGTTCACTACAACTGACTAGTTTCTATTTTCTTGAGGATATTTCTTTGAATTGTTTTGTATTTATTAGTCCTTATTGGATCAAATTGTACAGCAGACATATTGTCATTTTGAGTGCTGGTTCTTGATGTGCAGATCTTGTGAGTTCTCATCTGAGGTAGTTGGAATTGCCCAGTATAAAGTTTTATAATTAAAGTTGGTAGCTAAAGAAATATATCTTATATTTTAGCAAAGTTACAACTCAACTTTCTAATTCCTAAGTGCTTAGGAGACTTATCATTAATTCATTTTATATAGAATTGTGCCTTACTGTGCAGAAGTTTATTTGCAAATTACCAAGGTACATATACTCAACTGTACAAAGATATACATATATGTGTAAAATGGTTTAAAACTGTTATATATTTTTTTGGTACTGGGGATTGAACTCCGGACCTTGCGCTTGCGAGGCAGGCTACAGAACCACTGAGCTAAATCCCTGGCCCTAAAACTATTATTATATTTAAGTGTGATACGAAGTATGCAAATATACACAGCCTTTGTCATATTGTAATTATTTCATAGCTAGAAAGACATGATTAAAAATGAAAAGTATTTTATCCACTACATCTCTTTGATAGTCTTCTCTCAAAACATGTTGACATTCTTGATTTTTAGCGGAGCCATAACTGCAAGCAGATGTATGAGGCACTGGAAACATGACTCACAAAAGCCAACCTAGCAATGATGAGCATGTTAGCTATCATGCCCTTGGCGACCTTAAAATGACTTCTTCACTTCATTAAAATATTTGTTGAGCAATAAAACATAATGATTTATGTCCTTAAAACAATTAAATGGATGTTTTTAATCTTTTTTTCTCTAAAAGTGCTTAAGTAAGTCTGATATTAACAGTTCAACCATGTAATTTGAGAACCGAACTGTCAGGAAAGGAAAAATTTATTTAATTTGAGCATTAATAAATTGAGAATCTTTAGCTGGTGGCACAAATATTTTGTTGTTAAAAGTCAGGCATACATTGATGTAACTTGATAGTCAATCAGAGCTAATGTATTGTTATGTATGAAGTTTGCTTAATATCATAATAGATAATGATCTAAAGAAAAAGTGCACTTAAACACCAATTCCAGGTGTAACAATAACAAATACTTGTTTTATTGGGCAGCTCTTCAGCACGCAGGAAGAAATCCATCCCAAAAAACTATTAATAAGTATTGGACTCCTCAAACTGCCAAACTGAATTTTGATGATTTTTGTGTAATTTTAAGGAAGGAAAAACCTACTTCAAAAGCAGAACTGCTAAAATCATTTAAGCAGTTAGATGTAAATGATGACGGCTGTATTTCACACACTGACCTTTATAAATTTCTAGCAAAGGTAAGATCTGTGAAACTCTTTTGTAATGTGCAGATTTGCAGAACAACTTGGAGTTGAGCTTTGGCTAGTAAAGTTCACTTAAAACTAATTACTTCATTGCCATGCATGGTAGTGCAGTCCTGCAATCCCAGCACTCAGGAGGCTGAAGCAGGAGGATTGCTGTGAGTTTGAGGCCAGCCTGGGCCACATAGCAAGACCCTGTCTCAAAGAAATAAACAAAAGCATTACTTCACTGACAGATGAAGCTACATCTAGATCCTTCTGGATGACAGGTGCTGTTTTCAGCAGAAGATAAATCTCAGACTGAGCCCATGTTGCAGTCCCTTGTGCTCCCATGCAGTTCCTTCCTACCTAGAACTCTGTAAATCAGATACAGGTCCATGTGTGACAAGAGGGAAAAAAGCAAAACATAAAAGCCTTTAGAAATCCACTGTGTTTCTTGGTACAATATTAGAAAATACCATTACTCTAAATTCAGTAACAGTTATGATTCTATGATATACAATTGATAAAATTTAGTGAACTGAAACTTGGCACATTTTCACAAAATTTAATCAAATTGTGTTTTCAGTCTTGTCTAACAGTGTCATTATTAGCTTGAGATAGTGCTTATTCTGACTGGTCATGAAGCCACATGTTCCAGGTTACTTGTAGAAGAGTTTAGAATGTATTTTCATTATCCCAATTAATAACAAAGTGGTGATCATTTTGTTTTATTTCAGAGAGGTGAGAAGATGACTCCAGAAGAAGTCAATAGTATAATAAATTTGCCTGATGTAAATGCTGGTGGCAAATTTGACTACATTAAGGTACGTAATACGCATATTATTTAGGGAAATTATTTATATTTTAGTTTTCACTCAGCTTTCTTAAGGTATAATTGACAAAATATATAAAATATTATATATAAAAATATATTTTTATACCACACATGTAATGAAAAGATAAGTACATACATACATTGTAAAATGATTAAATCAAGCTCATCAACATTAGAAATGTTTTAGGTTTTTGCCCCCTAGGGGTGAAACCCCAGGCTTCACGAATACCAAGCACATATCCCAGGAGCTATACCCCACGCCCTTAGAAAAGTCTTTTTAAAACTTAAAGCACGAGGAGTGAGGATTTAGCTCAGTGGCACAGCGCCTGCCTCTCAAGCGCAAGGTCCTGAGTTCGATCCCTGGTACCAAAAACAAAAAAAAATTAAAGCACTTTTTCTGGTAAACATTGGCAGTGACATAGATACTGCTATGTTTTCATTGTACTTGAAATTCTTGACAGTTCCAAAATTGCAATACGGTGACTACATTTAAAATAATACAGATGGAGCATCCCTACCCCAGATACCAAAATCTGAGACTTTTGAGTGTGGACATTGGATTCTACATCTGAGCTGGGTGTGTGGCACGGGTCTGTTACCCCATCCACTGAAGCTGGAGGCCAGCCTGCGCTACTTGAAATTTAGAAAAAGTGATTCAGAATTTTTGAAAAGAAAAGGGCTGAAAGGTAGCTCAGCACTGGAGCACTTGCCTAGTGCAACCTGGGGCCCTGGGTTCAATCCTCAGTGCTTCAAGGAAAGAAAAAGACAAAAGGAAGGAAAACCCCACACTGCGGCCTCCTGATGGGGCTTCCAGTCAACGCAGGCACACTAAAATACCATACAAAACTGCCCTCAGGCTATGTGTAAAGGTGTCTGTGAAGCATAGGTGAGATTCTTGTTTGGGCTTGGGTTCCACTCCCAAAATTACTCACTATGGATATGCAAACACTCCAAATCTCTGATAAAAATCCAAAACAATTTTGGTTCCAACATTTTAGATAAGAGCTATTCAGCTTTATGACCAAGTTAAAATGCATATGTGCGCACCCACAGACATGCAAGCAACATAGACATTCTCAGAAATGTACCCTTCCCAGGGTGGAAAAATCATAAAATTATTTAGAACAAACGCAAGTCAGCACGTCTTGTAAAAAAAATGATTCACTTCTCCTTGTGCAGCATTTTATTTTCTCTCCGAGTATGACCTCCTCACTGAATCACGGCTGCTTCTCACCAGGTCACTCGAGGCCAGCCGGTCTGATTCGGGAAAATAAAACAACCCAGTTCAACAAGAAATATATTCCATCTGTCAGTCTACCCCTCCCCTCCTAATGGCATTTGCCTTCTCTGCCTCCCAAATGTATGATTGAATGTTTCACCCACTGGACTCCTTTTTTATTTCCTGTAGTTTTGTAAATTATATATGATGACCAGCGGGCAGTGTCTCAAGACTGCACTAGAAAAGCTAGAGGCTGACAGTAAACTGAGGTGTCAACAGTTTGGAAGCCACATGGAAGAGTTCTCCGAGAGGGACTCGCCGTCAGTACCAAAACTGTCACCTGGAATCAGAAGGCAGAGTGATCAGGGAGCATTCTCTAATAAAGGTATTTACTCTCCAAACTGAATTTCTTCATCAAGAATGAAGGGTCATTACTCAGATGAAATTTTCCTTCCATCCTTGCTTAGTGATAAATGAAAATCCAACTTTCATGAGCTTCAATTTCTAGACTCTCTTAGCTGTAAAAACTCTACTGAAGTAAAATTTTATTATGGGACTTGACTTAGCTATGCTCATTATATTTTATTAAAACTAAAACTTCAGACTAAAGGACGACATATTGAAATAAGGAATCTTAGTAGCCCATAAATTGGGGACCACTAAAACCTGATAAATATAAAACTTTTAACCTTACTTCAATAGGAAGAACCAAGAGAGTGACATTATTACAGTGGTCCTTTTATACTACACTGTGTTTAGAAGCAAACACCTGCCGACAACTTTTCCGAATGTGGAGACCAAATCACTATTATGTTTCACAGGTGACAACAGGGCTTCTTTACTGTCAACAGTGAGAAAGTTTAAAGCGTCTGTTTCCTGCACAATTTCCATGGCTGCTAACAGTAACCACAACTCAAAGTTAACTGAGCCAAACCTAAAGGTAAAGTATTTTAAATTAGCAGAGATAACTTTTCTGAAAAAAATTGATATTGCATTTATTAACAACTATTTTGTGTGAACAATGAGCCATTGAAATTGTGAAGTAATTCTTTAAGGTTCTTCCTGTGGAACACAGCATTTCTACACTTAAGCCAGTCGCAACTTTTTTTTTGGTACTGGGAATTGAACTCAGGGACTCGTGGCTTGCCAGGCAGGTGCTGTGCCACTGAGCTACGTCTCCGGCCCTGTAACATTTTAAAATAAAAGTCAGAAGAAGAATGTCGTCATAAGTTCTTTAGTTTGGAAATGGTAACTCCCGAATATTTGAACTTGATGAGTAGATTATTTAATTATGTAACAGACACTTTCCATAGGTGTTTCTGGTAAATAAATCATTCATTCAATATCAATTCCTGGGAGAGAAAGACAACAAAGTCACTTTGCTAAGTCAATATTTGTAGAGTGCTAATATTGATCTTCTTCCTTTGTTTTCCCTTTTTAGACACAACCTTTACCAGTTTTCTTTCAACAGAAAATAATAGCTACAGAAATATAAAACATTAACTGGAAACTGCTAGGATACATTAAAAATATGCACCTGGAGACCACAGTAAGGGTGGGTGGTTATGACCACACACTGTAACTGCTGCTAGAAAACTGAACTGATTGTTCCCCAGAGCTACATTTCCGTTTCAAATAACAACTCTGTATTTGTTATTGAACTCTGAAGTCCCTTATATCTTTAAGTTGCTAGACAGTGACATTTGTTCTATATTAAAATTTTAAAACATTATCTCCAAGGAATTTTGTTCAGACTGTTTAGGAATCTGTACACCCTAAGCAATTTGGTGTGCACGCCCAGCATGTTCACACAATATTTAGTGTTGCAGCAGTATTTTCTACAAATGGAAACTTTTTGTATTTTGCAACTAAGTTAAATGCTAATAACATTGGCTTAAATAATTATTGGTGATTGGATTCAAGAATATAAATAAATATAATTTTACTCAGGAGAGGCATAAATTTTAATATAGATTTTATCAAATCATAATGAGTCTTTTTCTCTGTGCCATTGAGACCATACCAATAAAATTCATTTAATTTCAGATAATTACCGAGCAGGTAATGTATGCTAGCCATTTCACTTAGTGTAAAATATGAACCTTGAATTAAAACATAGAAATTTTCATTGGTTATTGACATATAGCAAGGTGGTATGGCATAGTATTTCATTTATTCAACAAATATTTATTGATTGAAGTACTGTGTGCCAAGCATTGTTCTAGGTATTGATGAAAACGTTGGGTACAGACTTGAGCTCGAGCCCTAGCTTTGTTCCTTAATAACTGTGCCAACTTGGGGAAGTTAATCAGCAGCCCTTCTGGATCTCAGTTTCTTTACCTATAAGTTGGGAATAATGACATTAGTGTGTTTTGGAAAGATTTAAATCTTAATATATGTAAAATATTTAGTATGGTAGCATGGGACATAAAGTATTCACTGTAATAAAATATTGGCTTGTTAGTATTGTTGTAGACCTAAGAAATGAGGGTAGGTCTTTGGGTGGTAATGGCATTGTGAAAGTGTAGCTTACGAAAAGCTCCTAGTATTGTGCATGGAGAGAGAGACTGGGAGACTGATGCAGTGTCCAGATGGGGAGGCAAGAGGCTTAGTCCCAGTTGTGCTGAGGTTGTAGGGACGGGCAGATCTGGTGGGAATCTGGTGAGAATGAGTCTTTCGGCCATAGTCGTCACGAACAGGGAAGATGCTGGTGCTGGGAATTAGGTGGAAGGTACCAAGAAGATCTGATGATTAAAACTGAAGTTAGCATATCGATAACTTTTTAATTCTGTGATTTTCATATAAAACTTACTATCTTTTGTAATACTTGTTAGCTCCATATGTCTTACCCTTTTTTGTCCTGTTTCTGATCTTTATGTTTCCCACTGTTTACCGTTGGGTATTTCTTGGATGAGCTGAGCTGAAATGACTTTTTTTAGAAGTCCAGGGTCCTTTTGTTATTCAGTGGGATTCATTTCTTTGTTTTCACTTTACTCTGAAGTAATTTTGTTTAATTTCATAAATGTTATACCTTTCTGAGGTTTATAGCCACTCTGAGAAGCATTTGGTTATACAAATATTGAATAAATTACTAAAAAGATAGTTATACTAATTTTCTTCAAATACTTTAAATCTATTTTAAACAAATTTGGGTACTTCAGTTTCAGGTGGAATGAAGAAGTACAGAATTGGGACAGAGAAGGAGAGATTTTAGAAATTTGGAAATTGTTGGAATATGGTCCTGTCCTGTCCTTTCCTTTCATTTTTCTCCTGAGAGTTAGAGTTAGGGTGCCAAGTAGTCTTCCTGCCTCGGCCTCTTTAGTAGCTGGGACTATAGGAGTGCACCATCACACCCAGCAGCCAGAGTTTAAAACATAAATCCAGGGCCAGGGATTTAGCTCAGTGGTTCCGTCGCCTGCCTCCCAAGCTCAAGGACCTGAGTTCGATCCCTGGTACAAAAAACAAAACAAAACAAAAAAACCCCTATAAATCCACACAGTTTCATATAGGACTTGAGTTACGGGAAGAAAATAGGAACTTTACAGTGACTATACATATATTACTTTCCACTGGACATCATTAGGTACTGTATTACTGGGTTTTTAAAAATCTTGGATTTGATGCGTGTGCATAGGTTCTATAAATGTTCAAGGAATGTCAGGAATTTTCCTTTGAGAGGAATAGCTTCAGCTTCCTTGCTAAAGCAAATCATGACTGAAATTAGAGTAGGCTCCAAGCCACACATATATGTTCACACATGTGTATTGTACCTTAAAAGCACACACAGCACATACATGTTATTCCGCCTATTAATGTTATGAACATCTATATACATACATTGTGCAGCATATATGCAACACCTGTGTGTAACCTATGTTATATGGTACATGCATACCATATACATGTGTGGTACACATATATTTTATAGATATCTATATGATAATATAAACTTTCCATCTCAAAATGATTCACTGTTAATTTTTATAAAAGCTTCAAGTAGTTTCTCTTTCAAAATGTTGACCAACCTGTTTAAGAGACAATCCATGTCAATTTTTCCCTTCGTAAATTATCTATTTAACTTTTTATTTTAAAAATATTATTTAGCAACAAAAAGTTCAGTAACTATCTTTACTTATCTACTTGTCTTAACATACTGAAAGCAAATAGCTTTCTAGTAAGTGACACAGAATATCTTTATAAAAAAACAATGGCAAATTCATCTTCTGACTAAAGCTGTCAGATCTATTGCTTACTAATCCTACTCCACCTCATGTTTTATTAATAATACAGAATTTGTATGTCAGATTAAATCCTGTTCATTACTGTGATCCAAGAATAATGCAACTTAACTAATACATTTGCTTTGATAGCTGTTTTCTGCTTTACTATTTTTAATTTGTGCTTTCAATCCTTCTTTGTATATTACAAATGATAGTAAAATTTCTGTATGACAAATAAATGAAGTAGCAGTTGTTTGCGCGTCTATGAATTACTGTACATGAATTGGTAGAACATAGCACCACCTCATGCCCTGCATAAGAATTACAAGCTATTATTTTATTTCTGCTTTGTTGTCAAAATACTCTTATCATGCATGGAATTCCTTACTTTATCATTCTAAAATTTTTTAAAAACTCCTTCCATTTTTCTTATAATATTCAAATTGTCAACTTAATCTATAATCCTTTCAAATTCATTTATGTAAATGAGCCAGCCAACTTATCAGTACTTTTTTCTTCTAATTCATAACATTTTAGTCTAGATCCAAGAGAAAAATCTTGGTATGATTAAAAGTCTATGTGTTTTAAAGAAAATATTAAGTTGCAAAAGCATTGTGTGCTTGGTAACTCGCAGATCTTAAGAAAGCAAATGTTTCATTTTAAAGAGTGGAGCTATAAATTCTCCTAGTCCTGTTATTCACTGTTCAAAATAACCTAATTATCTTACTTGTATAATAACTACTGCTCTACCATCTTCCAGCCTTATTAATCTATGTGTAATGTGCTGTTTAGTTCAGCCTTTCCACAGAAACTTGCACGTTCCCTTCTATTGTAGCATTGTTTTCAAAATTGAAACTTAGGAGGATCTCTAATAACAATGTTTAACCTCTCCCTAGCTAGATTTTATAATAAAACTGTCTCCTATCAGCCTATGGCATTGACTGCAAAAGTACTGACATCTATGGAAAAATTCTTCCATTTTTGAGTTTCCCAAATGATACAAATTATGTTCCATATCAATATACAAGCAAACTGCTTTATTTTTTTACAATTTCACTGAAACTAGTCCAAACTCATGATTGCAATACAAGTACAAGAAATGTAGCAGCTACTAAAATCTATATTTTTAAGAAAACCAAATAACTAAATTTATCTTAACACTTAAATTTATAGTTAATTTAGAATGATAATGCTTCATTATACTTTATTATAGTAATATCATAAATATGAAATTTCTTTTAAAAACTGGCTTTAAAAAATTCAAAGGACTGCCTGCCTCGCAAATGTAAGGTCCCAAGTTCGATCTCTGGTACCAAAAAAAAAAAAAAAAAATTCAAAGATTTTTAAATGTGGAAGAGAACAGAACTTACAGCTGGCAGACTAGAAAATAAGGAGACCTAAACTGAGCATGGTGGTGCATGCCTGTAATCCCAGCACTCAGAAGGCTGAGGCAGGAGGATCGCTGCAAGTTTAAGGCCAGCCTGGGCTACATGGTGAGCTCAAGGCCATCCTGGAATACATAGCAAGACCCTAACTCAAAAACAAAACAAAACAAAGCAAAGAAAGTAGGGAGCCCTCGGTTCCTGCTCCCGTTCTGGCGTCAGTGAGAGCTGTGACATTGTGCCTAGCACTTTGTTTTTCAGACTTTTCGTATCCATCAAAAAGGAAATATGCACTAGATTGCTTTTTTGGCTCCTCCTACTTTTTTTTTGGTCCTGGAGATCGAACTCAGGACCTTGTGCTTGCAAGGCAGGCGGTGGAACCACTGAGCTTAAATCCCCAGCCCCTCCTTCTACTTTTAATACAGGTTGAACATTGCTGGTCCCAAAACCCCGAATCTTAAATGTTCCAAAATCTGAAACTTTTTGCTTGCCAGCATTACACTACAAGCAGAAATGTTCACACCCGAGCCTGTGTGATGGTCACAGTGTAAATGCAAGGTTCACCGAGCCCACTGTGCAAAACCATACGATGTACACCTCTAAAGTGCATGTGAAGCACAGGGAACCCGTGCTCAGACTTGGGTCCTGTCTCTAAGATGTTCAGCACATACAGTAGATATTCTAAAACCTGAAACACTCCCAAACCCAGAACACTTCCAGGCCCTAAAATTTCAGATAAGGAATGATCAACCTGTATTTTGTAACTCACCATTATCCTTTACCATTCCAGATAGGTAAGTAGAAAAAAAATATGTTCATAAAACTCCATCGGATGATCTTACAATCAAATTGATTAAAAGGAAAAAGTTTAATGATAGAATCATAGTTTGAACTGTCTCAAAGCACGACTGCCTGAATGCCGTGCACCTCTCCGTTGCTGTCCTTAGCGGTTCCTGTGGTCAGGACAGCCGGTGCTGAGGCCAGCTGGTGCCCCCTGAGGCCAGCCTCTATTGGGCGCGTGGTCCTGGCAGATGTCGGGGAGGATGCTTCGGCCTTCAACCGAGTTTGAACCTTATCGAGTTAGGGAACAATAAAATTTTTCTGTTTGGTATCCTGGTGAAAAAGCCTTAGACTCTAGACATACTATTTCTACAAACACCTTGTTTTTGTTTTTTGGGGGCCTTGGGGATCAAACTCAGGGCCTTGCACATTCCAGGCAAGCACATTACCACCGAGCTACGTCCCTGGCCCACGAAAAACTCCTTGTAAAACCGAGTCTGTGTAACTTTCAGTACCCGGTTTTCTCTGGTTATTAAAGTGACTAATTTATATCTATCCCATATTGCCTCATAGGGAAGTTGTATTTAAGAGGGTTAATCCCAGTTTTTTAAGGTTACATTTTAATTTCTCACAATCTTTTATCTTCCGAAGTTGCATGTGATAATGAATGACTGGAAGCTTGAATGGTGGTTCAACAGGAATGATAAAACCCTTAAAAGTTTAGATCCAGTTTAAGAAGAAATCTCTAAAGAAAAGATAGCGAAGGATGGCGGTGCATGCCTGTAATCCCAGCACTCAAGAGGCTGAGGCAAGAGGATTGCCATGAGTTTAAGGCCAGCCTGGACTACACAGTGAGATCCTGTCTCAAAAATAAAAAAAAATAAAAAAACATGAAAAGCTTACACAAGTTGAGAAATCATTAAAAGTAAGATAAATGGAGACAATACATTCATCAAAGCATACAAAGAGGGTGGGTGATATCTAAAATAGTCAAAAGAATTTATTAAAATATGTAAGAAAATACCAAGGCTTTAACACAGTATAAAATAAGAGATGATTTGGCAGTTCACACAAAAGGAAACAAAAATCGCAGGCCCATGGCAAATGGTCAATCTTAACAAATGGTAGTCAGAGAAATTCAAAGCAGTACAAAAATTGCTACAATAATAGTTTTTACTGTCAAGTACTTGGGATATATAAAAATGTGTAGAATACTGTATATACTGAATGTTTTATATATCCACATCTTAACCCAGAAATCATCCCCTACCAATGCTGTACTGGAGAACTGAAACCAGGGCCTTCACACTGAACTACATCCTCAGCCCCCTCCCCTGTATTTTTTTTAATTTTGAGACAAGATCTCACTAAGTTGCCAGGTTATCCAGGCAAATCCCAGAGTGCTGGGATTTTAGGCATATCCTGCTATGCCTGGCTCTAACTTTGTTCTTTTTCAACAGCAAAATATTATAGATATAAGATTAAATTTTTAAAATGAAACATAAAATGGTATTAGAATGCAGAAAAAATAGGGTCTTCTATAAGGTCAATATTAAAAAGGATTACAAAAATCAGTAGGGTAGTAGAGTTATAGGGATTCTTTTCTATTTCAAATTTCTAATTTTAAATGTATCAAGTATTAAAATGATTATGACTTAATAGAAAAATGATATGCAAGTATATGTTAGGGTAATTTAGCTTTAAAAATTACATGTAAGTCTTTTTATAATGCGTGAAAAATATTTGTGATGTTCTTATAGAACTAATGTACAGTCAGTCCCTTGGGTAGTTTTCAATATTAAAGCTTTGGTCTTAATATCAAATATGTAAATGTTCTTACAGATAATTGTTCAGAATCTTTCTTTGTAAAGTCACTTCACAGCCTCATTAATGCTCTACTTTCGGAGGTTACTAGGGATAGAACAGAAATATGCCTCACATTTCAGGCAGGCAAGCCTACTAATGACACAGTGAAAAACATTTTTGTACACATTTGTGGTAACAGCACAGTTTCTCTTACGTTCGGTGAAGAATCTTCTACTTTCTCCCCAGGGCGCTGTTTGCAGATTTTACTTGATTTTAGTTCTCAGATCGGACGTCGACATATGGACCCTGACCCGGAGAAGGGATCTGGCTAGACTGAGAAGAGTAGCTCTTTCCCCACACTGACCTTTTCTATTTATCAGCGTGTTTCTGTAGCTTTGGAACTTTTATTCAGTATTCTTCTGGTTCCCGAGACGGCAAACAACTCCCCTGGGTGTCTTGTGCTTTATCTCCGTGCCCAGTCTTCCTGCTTTTTCTTCTGGTTCCTTCCCTCCCTGGCCTTCACTCGCCCAGGTTGCAAAGCAGCATAGTCCCTCCTGTGCTTCACTCTTCCTTGATCCCCGTTACGCATTTCCTTGACTCTTCGCTGCTCTTCGCGGTGAAGCTCACGGGAGCCACTGGTTTCCATCCGTGCTGGGCCCCAGGCAGCCCCGGGCTCCAGTGCTCTGCGCTTGCACCTCTGCCTTGTAACTGAGGCGTCACTGCTGTGTTCAGTTGATTATTCTCTCACCTCCTGCCTTGCACTTTCCCGGAGGGCGAGGACTACTTGGCATTGCTTTCGTCCCCACCTTGCCTTCTCCTCGCTAGCATGCGTGCTGGGAACAGTCAGCAAACACCGTCCGAGAGCCCCGTTTGCTTCCTCTCAGGACTGGCGGTGTGCACAGTCGAGAGGCTGTTTCTTCCTGGAGGAGGACGGCGAGGTCGTGAGTCACCAGTACAGGACGCACCTGGCCCGCAGCTCCGCGGTTTACCTGACCATCAAGCCGCTGAGCCTGAGTCAAGTGGAAGGCAAGTTTCAATTTCAGTTTTCAAATAGCATTTTGCACTCCCTTTGAAAATACATGTGTGAGTATTTAACCGTTCCAGTTAGTGAGGAAAATAATCTACCCAAATAAGAAACATACGGATGTGCTTCTGCACATTTATATATTGACTGTGTTATCAGATACACAAAGCAAGTCGCATGCTTTCCATGTATGTTTAAAATTTAAAGCATGTTTCATTCAAAGCAAAAACAAAATGCTTTGTCTGCTAATTATCTTGGCTTTTTCCATTTATCTGTTTTTAAAATTAATTTATCTAAGAGAAGCTCTACAGGAACATACTTTAGGATGTGAAACTGCAAGTACATTTTAATATCTTCAAAGTCCATTTCTGTGCTGAGACAATCTTTATTAATAATCTTTGCATTCGTGGTAATGTGCTTTTTTAGATAAAAGTTAATACCTCCCTACTGTCTTGAATGCCTAGTACATCGTTTTTAATCAGTGAAAGATGTCTATAATGGTCCTTTCCTAGGTAGCCTTTTAATGTTGGTTGTCCTAAATCAATCTTTACTTTTTCTCTTATAATGTTTATGTATAAACATTTTCTTGCCAGAGGATTCTCTCTCACTCCCTAAAGTAGAGATTCTGAAAATTTTCACAGCATATCTAATAGGATACTTTGAGTATTTGGTGGTTGATGCTCTTAAATAGGAACTACAGTAGTCACTTTTCAGAGAAAAAGAAAGCAGGATAACTGTGCAAATACAGTGTTAATTCTCTGTATTCTTATGAATAGGATTCCTTTGTTCATTTATCAGGCATTTAGCAGACAGTCTTAAAAACCCGAGGTCAATTTAGTCCTCAATGCAGGCATTTTGGATGTATCTGGAGCACCAGAAAGTGGACTTAGGTTTCCATGGGGGAAAGTCGATAATAATCATCCTCAAGAGTGTATTAGTTAGAAAGTCACGGTGCCATAGGAAAACAGGGAGAGGGGGCTGTGAGTGCCAGGAGAGGTGGGCTGCTGCTCAGTGGGGTCTGGGATGCAGTTCACTAAGCAGGCGGCAGCCTCAGATTGGAGAGGGCGTGTTGGTTACCACCCTGCAGAACAGCCGCCCCGCACACATACAAGCCTTAAAGCTCCAAGCTGCCGGAGCTGAGCCGAGCAGGGTGGCTGCTGTGTGTAGAACTGGGTCGCTGGGCTGGCACTGGGGTCAGAGCCCCGTTCAGATTAGAGGCCCTCGGGAGGCGGGGACCCGGGCTTCCTCCGGACACCTCAGCGTCTCTTCTCTTCTGGAAGGGCTGTTTCCCTGGATTTCAGGCAGTTTAGTTGCTCTGAAACTTCAGCTTTTGATGAGTTCATTGTAAGATGTAAGAGTTTTAGAAAGTAAGCAGGAAGAGAATCTTCCTCAGGCAGTCGTTGTGTGTTGTGTATGGCTTATTACAAATATCAAGACGTTTATATAGAAAAACAGGGTGTGTATTTCTTTAAAAAAATCAAGGGAGAAAAAAACACTAACTTTTCTTTAAATAGTAAAGAGAATGTAGTAATTGCTTCTTTTAAGGTATTTGGGCTTTTTGTTTGTTTATAGGAAAACTATCCCGTTGGTTATCAGTTGATACTGCCTTATATATTCTTAAGGAAAATGAGAATCAAGCAAATCTACAGCTCATATGTTGCACCGAACTACGAAACAGAGAAGTATATTCATTTTCTAATATTTAATTTTAAAGTACAGCATGAACTCAGATGGAGTTCCCCAAACCAGAGTAGGGGAAGATAACTATTTTTCTCTTTTCTAACTCTTATTCTTCTGAAGCTGTAAGTAGTACTTAAATCTGTAGATCTTATGTATGTTTTATTAGTTGTGAAAGACTTCCTTGCTTGCTGGAATCCACTAAGGACAGGATTGGTTGCAGCCTTGGCGTCAGTACCTAGCAGCTGTCTGACCCTGTGTTCCACTTTCCTCACCTCCGAAGGCCCTGCTACCTCACACAGGAGGTGAAAGGACTGACGTCTGCTGATCCCCTCTGCACACAAGCAGTTCTAGACTTTGGAAAAGTTACTGTAGATGTCTGTCTTACACTTCTACTGCTAAACAGAAAAACATCAAGGTTACTAGCCTCAGGCTTGGCTCACCCATAGGGTTCAAAAATAGACTGATATGAAAAAATGCTTTTAAATGTTTTTTGTTTGTTTGTTTTTTGAGGCAGGATCTCCCTTTGTAGTTCAGGCTGGCCTTGAACTCAGTATGTAGCCCATGCTGGCCTCGAACTCACAGTGATCCTCCTGCCTCACCCTCCTGAGTGCTGGGATTACAGGTGTGTGCCACCACACCCAGCGTGCTTTTAAATGCTTTTATATGTTCCCCTTGGGTTTGTTCTGGTCCTTTCTAATTATACATTTACTCAGAGGCCAAATATTTGAAGCAGATACATAAATGTGGCTGTTTATTTTATGAGGACTATAAAATACACCTAGTACAAAACAACTGAAATAATACTATCCAAGGGCTTCTGCAATGTCATATTTAATAAGGGCCAGGGACAGACAAACATTTCCTGGATGGAAGGTTGTATAAAAGTCTTTATTCTAGGCTTCCTGACAGACAAGGGTAGTTATAGGCACGAAATGAACAGAATGGCAGACGTTAATGCTGTGACTAAACTCTTCTCATTGACAGCAAAGTTAGTGGCATAAAGCAGTATATACAACAATAGCTTTCAACATTTTGTTTTAGGTAAAATTACTTTTCTCATGAGATTGAATGTATGAAAAAAAGTACAGAGCAAAGCTTAAAAAAAGTTTAAGACTGGGCCAGGGATTTAGCTCAGCGGTTTTGCCGCCTGCTGCGCAAGTGCAAGGACCCGAGTTTGATCCCCGATACCCAAAGGAAAAAAAATAGTTTAAGACTATTTGCCTCTGCTCTCTAGGTTTCTGTTTGCCTGTTAATATGTCACATTTACAAAGGATTTTTTTCTTTGTATTTTTAGTTTCACAATTATTTTCTTTAAGAAGAATTTTGTGCCCATGGAAACTTTTCTTTTGCCGTCCCCAGAGCAATTCAAGGCTGTGGGTGGGGAACCAGGAGGCTCACAAGACGATGCACACTAGGAGTCCAGGGTCTGTGGCACACTCCGATGTCTTGGTGCATCTGGCCAGACTAGAAGACAGTGGTTTCCAGGGGATGGAGTGGGTGCCCGTGTCGCCTTTGGAATGACCTTCAGTTCTGTTGGATTGCCTCATTGTCAGAGTAGGATACAGTGACTTCAGGATGATTAGGGTTCCCCTGACGGATAAAGGGAACAGGTATTCCAATGAGCAACTTGAGTCTGTTCAGGAATTTCCGTGATGACCTGAGGTGCACCCAGGTGTTGAAAGTAAATTTTGGACACAATACACGACAGAGTTCCCTCAAGCTAGTCCGAGCAGAAGGACAAACAGCTGTTTAGCTATCAGATCCAACTAGAAGATAAGTTGACTTAATATATTTGACAGATGGCCCCTTGTTTTTATATGAATCGTTTGGGCTCCAGCAAGCTCCTAGGAGCTACGTAGAGGGTTACCACTTGCTTTCTTTATAGAAGAGGAGAACAAAATGTTTTCCTATACAAATGTTCTCATACTCACTCAAGTATCTAACACTATAGAAAGCAGACATTCATGTAAGTCAGGTTCACCTGGGATTCTGCATCTTACTTTTATTATATAAAAATAATAAAATTTCAATGCACATAATTGGAGTCTTAGAAATAGGTTTAATTCATACAGATAATGAACTCTTAAAAAGTAGATTTTTTTCCTGTAATACTGCAACTTTTTTTTCATTTCTTTTTATTAGCCCATGTTTGCATCACATAATGATCAGATGCATCACAGAGAATTTATACGTGTACATAACACATCTTAGTTCTTTTTTTGTGCCATTCCCCTCCCCTTAAAAATACACTTAATTTTTACTTTGTGTCATTGAAATCTGAGTTACAAATAATATATTTATATTTCAATCAGTCAAAAACTGTAACCTGCAATATTATTAACTTGGAATATTATTACTTTTCCTTAAGGACCATCACAAATATTTTTGAAGATTATTGGGAAAGATTTAGAACATACATCACTTCTTTCTTACTACAGTTTTAGGCAGGTTTTTTTCATTCTGTTTTGTTTTTCTGTGGTACAGGCACCCAGGGCCTTTGCACTGAACTACATTATTGGATATATATATATATATATATATACACACACACACATATATATAATGAACTACATCTAGTGGTCTTAGACTGGGGTTACCATTAAGAAAAAGGATTTGAAGACTATAAAAGATTGGTAGAACTATAATAAATTGGTGAATAATGATTTTATGAATCATTTATAATGCTTCCCTTTCAGAAGAATGAAAGTATGACTCATGGCTGTTTTTGTTTTGTTTGATTCTTTTGAGGAAAGGTGTTTGGCTGGACTGGTGAACTAGGGCCTGGAGTTTACTGGTTAATTCCTTCCACGACTGGCTGTAGGCTGAGGAAAGAAAGAAAGCCAGTAACGGAAGAAGCCCAACTTGTCTACAGAGATGGCACTGGGCAATTATTTCTTACAGAGGAGTTTCGGTAGGTTTCGGTATGCGCGTTAGCACCATCTCAGCCACCTGAATGTTTGTCCTTCTGTGGCCAGCGCCCACTCTACCCTCACGTGGCCAGTGTCAGCGGGGATGAACCTGGAAGACGCTGTGCCAGGAAGAGGGGGGCAGCTCAGAGACAGACATGCCCAGCCTCACTCTGGTGTAGAAACATAAAAAGTTGAAGTTACAGATGCAGAGTAGCACGGCAGCCACCGGAGCCTGGGTGAGGATGGCGGCTGCGGAGATGTTAGCGAAAGACAGCAAGTTCACTTAGGCAGGGGTAGGTTCCAGGTGTCTGTGTATGACGCGGTGACTGTGGCTCATGCAGTGTCCTGTAAACGTGAAAGTCACTGAAGAGGACTGGACTTTCAGTGTTCCCACCACAAAGATAAGTCCGTGAGATATGCATATATCATGTAGCTGTGTACATCCATCAGAACATCACGTTGTACCCCACAGATGTACACCTATGTAGTTAAAAAACTCACTCACCGGGCATCTGAAAGTGACCTTCACACGGCTCAAGGCCCCTCACCCACTTCTGGGTTGCACACACTTGGCGAGTCAGCTGCAGTCAGCGTCTATGATTTCCCAACTCCAGCCCCTGCCTAGAGAAACAGACCTTGCTGGTGCACACTGGATTTGGCTAACTGTTAAATAGGAAATCCAGCCAGGTGTGCTGGTGCACGCCTGTCATCCCAGCACTTGGGAGGCTGAGGCAGGAGAATCACTGTGAGTTCGAGGCCAGCCTGGACTACATAGTGAGTTCAAGGCCAGCGTGAACTAATAGACCCTGACACAAACAGCAGAAACACACTGAAATCCAAAGCTCCTGTGCCCTAGATATACACACAGGAAGACCCAGCTGCAGGCACAGAGAAAGAAGAAAGCAGATTGGAGACAGGGAGGGGGACCAGCACTATTCCCTGAGCTCCTACTGAGTTGAGAGACTACAGTTGCTTAGAAGCTCGTGTATTTAATACTAGACTGAGCAGAACTGTCTTTGGATGCATAATAGTTCACAACAATTGCTTAATGGTGTAATACTATAGCCTTTGAGATCTGTCACCTTCAGTCCAGCTGTCTGAAAGACAAGAAGTGGTTTTGTTTTTGTAACTTTAGGGCGGCTCTATCAGATATATTCGAAGTGATTGACTTGGACGGAAACGGCCTTCTAAGCCTTGAAGAGTACAATTTTTTTGAGCTGAGAACAAGTGGTGAGAAGTGTGACGAGGACGCGTGGGCTCTCTGCAGAGGTGGGCGCTTCTCCTTCTCCTTGTGGGTGTGGGGGGATGTGTGGGCTTGGTTTATTCCTCGCAAGGAAGAAGCCAGCCTTCTCCATGAGTGTGATTATAGTATTTAGGACAGTTGAAGAGTAGCAGCATTGTTTGTAAGATCCCAGAAACATAAACATTTATTTTCCTGAAACAATTTTCCTTTGTATTATTTTCAAGTGGTGCAATACTCAAGTTCAGAGGAAATAGGAATCACTTAATCCTTTGGGACTTAAAAGAAAAACTGCCTGGCTCTTGACACCACTGGGCCAGAAGAGGGCTGCAGAGGGTTTCCCTAAAAAAATCAAAAGGATTCTAGGAAATTGCTTATAATCTCAACACTGCAGAGGCTGAGGCAGGAGGATTGCGCGAATCCAAGGGCACCCTGGGCTCCACAGCGATGTAACCCTTTCATCTCACACAGCCTCTGCTGCTCACTTCTTTGGCACAGTGTCTGACCAGATCTTCTGCCCACTTGCCTGGGGATTTATTTTTTCCTGTCGCACTGTAAGAGCTCTTTGTGTACTCTGAATACAAGACGTTCAGCAGACTCCCTGTCAGCAGGAGTGTTTTCAGCTCTCCACAGCATCTTTCCCAGAGCCATTTCTAGTTTCGGAGAAGTCCCACTTGGCTTTTCTGTCATGGGTTACAGCTTTAGTTTGTGTGTTTCTGATGCATCACCAAAGCCAGGGTTGCCTAGGTTATCTCTGATGTTATCCTCTGAAAGTTTTGTCATGTTGCGTTTTGCACCCGAGCCTCTGGCCCCTTCTGGGTTGATCCAGTGAAAGGCGAGAGGCCTGGGTCTGCTCTGCAGTGGGTGTGGTTCGTCCAGCACCAGCCTTGGGAGGACAGACCCTGCGCAGTCACTTCTGGACCTTGATCTGCCTGTCGGGTTTTCAGCAACACCCACTCTCCATACTCTGGCTGCACAGAACGTCCCAGATAAGGCGTTAATGAGCTTTAAAAATTAATGGGCATTGAGAACCTCAGGTTCTAAAAGTCAGTTAGTGATGCTATTCTCTGTAGTACAGTATCCAGACATGTTTTTCTTTAGCAACTTCTTTGCGTCACACAAATACGATTTTTCACCTGACTTTACTACATAGTAGCCCCAGCCTTTATTTTAGGGGCTACCATTTCTCTCCATGATCTGGCTTAATCTAAATACATATTTTTCCTTATAAAGGTTGTCGGTCACTCCCTCCCTAAACATTTTACACTGTTCCACCTGCCTCGCCAGTGCAAGGACCTGAGTTCGATCCTCGGGACCAAAACAAAACGAAAGAAACAAACAAAAAACATTTTACACTGTTTATCAGTCAGCCAGTTTCACACAAGTATGTCTTCGCTGCTTCTCTCATGATAATGCACAAAAGAGAGATTCTGTCTTCAGAACATCCACTTCCCCTGCTGAGCATGTGAGATGGGGCTTGGGAAACAAAATCCTTGTTATAGGACACTTATCAAAATGTAACCCCAAAAAGGCTGTTTACTGTCTATAAACATTTCAATACAGATATACAAGTAGGACATAGGAGACAGACATGTTATACACAGATTTAGGAATTATTAGATACAGTATTTCTGGACTTAGTTTTACTCACAAATAATGTTAAATGGGGGTACTTTGACTCAAATAAGGAAAATAGGGTTCCCTATTATTTAACAGTCTTCCAAGGACCAAGGGACAGTTTGGTTAGAATTGGAGGAGTCAGGCACACAGTGGTCTCTTTAAGTCTGGCACTATCTCTGTCTCCCTTTTGGAAACTCAGAAGTTTGGGGGATATAATATCAAATTCATCAAGGTTCTGCCAGGTTCAAGGGGCAAATATATAAAAAACATTTTAGTATTGGAAATATCAGTATAAGTTCTAAATAAGTACATGGGTTGAAATTTTCCCAGAAAAAATATAATTTCTTCTAATTTTGGAATGTACTTGCACTATTTATAACTTCAGAATTTGTTGAAAAAAAATTTTTTTAGGGGCCGGGGATTTAGCTCAGTGGTTTCACTGCCTGCTGCGCAAGCACAAGGACCCGAGTTTGATCCCTGGTACCAAAAAAAAAAATAACTTTTTTTAAAGGATTTGTTGAAAAACCTCAGGTATACGGAAAGAGGCCGTGGAGCTGTACTTTCCGCGGGCTGACACGCAGATCTCCAGCCTCCTTAGAGACAAGCATGCGGCAAATTCGGTACCATCGACATTTTTATCACACGTCTGAATTTCTAAATTATCTAAAAAAAGAAACTTTGGGTTGTTTTAACAGAGCATTTTGAGACAAAGAAGAATGAACTAACAAGACAGGGGTTCATGGACTTGAATCTAATGGAAGCCAGAGACCTGGAAGGGGACCCACGTGACCTCTGGGTGACGCTGCACTCCATGGGCTACGACGCAGCTCTGGAGCTGACAGAGGTTGTGCGTGTGTATGCGCGTGGTGCGTGTGATACGAAGTTCAGCTGCAGACCTGGGTCTTCTGCACTGATATTCTCTCTCTCCTCCCTCTCCCTCCCCCTCCCCCTCCCTTCCCCCATCCC